TCTCCTCCAACTTGGAACAATTCCTGTCTTTAATGGCCTGGACACATTTGAAGAAGACTAGTCAGTTATCTTTTTAGAATGTTTCTCAATTTGAGTATGTCTGATGTTTTTCTATGTTTTAATTCAAGTTATGTATTTTTGTTTGTTTTTGAGACATGTCACCCAGGCTGGAGTGCAATGGCACCATCTCAGCTCACTGCAACCTCTGCCTCCAGGGTTCAAGTGATTCTCTTGCTTCAGCCTACTGAGTAGCTGGGACTACAGGTACGTGCCACCACACCCAGCTAATTTTTGTATTTTTAATAGAGACAGGGTGTCACTATGTTGGCCAGGCTGGTCTCGAACTCCTGATCTCATGATCAGCCTGCCTTGGCCTCCCGAAGTGTTGGGATTACAGGCGTGAGCCACCACACCGAGCCCAAGTTATATATTTTTGAAAAGAATATCACAGAACTGATATTGTGTCTTTCTCATTACATCAGATGTTACATAATGTTGACAAGTCTCATTGTTTGATGCGAAAGCAATGTCAACTTTGATCATTTGGTTTAAATGGTGTCTGCCATTTTGATCATTTGGTTGAAATAGTGTCTGCCATGCTGCATTCGTTATAAACTTACTATTTTCCCATTATAATTAATATCTTGCCTTGTTGCAAGAGTATTTGGCAGCAGAATATTTTGATACTATGCAAATATCCTGTTTCTTATCATATTTTTATACAATAATTTTAACATCCCATGATATCTCTTGTCTCTAACAATTATTACCGTGCGGTGTTTGCCAAATCATCATTTTCTGTTTCTATCACTTTTACATTTATTAACTTGCATTCTGTTGTAAGGAAGAGCTGTCCCTTCTTCCCTAATTATATATTTATTTAATTATTTATTGACAACAGTATGGACTCGTATTTTTTGTTGTTGTTGTTAGAACAACTCAGCAAAATAAAATTCCTGTTTATTGTTGGAAAACATTGTTTCACACATACATCAAACAGGCCAAAAAAAATAAACAGCAACTTCATAGACAAAAAAGGAAAAAAATGAAATCTTTTAATCTTTGGCCTTTCAAGCATCTCATACAAACCAACTACTTATGGTACAGCTAAGTACATACACAACAAAGGTACTGGAATGCTCGGAATGGGATTGTTTTTCTGTTGTCATTTTCGCTTTTTTTTACAAGGTTTTTTCTCCTTTGAGATTATAATGAACGTGGTCACACCACAAGTAAAGTCAGAAGCATGACAGAGAACGCTCTGAAGCCTGCTTTGGTCATCTGAGATCATTAAAAATGGCTGACCCTAACAATATGTACAAAAATATAAAATATAAATTAAAAACACAAACAAATTTCCTTTTTAAAGTACTTTTAAGAAAAAAAGCAGGGCCTTGGAAATTTTGGTTCCTTTTTCCTCCCGTGTTGCAAATTCTCATGGTTTGGGTTGGGTAGTGGAGAACGCGTGGTGTCCTCTGCGGTGGGCGGGCCGGCCTTTCTACTCGAAGGAGACCACGTTTAGATTCTGAGACAGGAAGTGGAGGGTGAATAGGTCACGGCGGCCTTTTGTTTTGGGTTTTTTTTTTAGTTTAACTTTTCCTTTTTTGCTGTCTAATCATCCTCGTCGGTCTTTTGCTTCTTGGTATCAATATCGCCATCCTCAGCATCTTCAGCTGCCCGCTTGCCCGTAGCAGACTCAGCTTCCTCATCTGCATCTCCATCCTCCTCCTCACCATCACCTTCTTCCTCCTCTGCCTCCCCACCTTCTTCCTCTTCTTCATCCACCTCATTGTCAGCCGCCTGCTCCCCATTTTCCTCACTGGCATTCCGGTTAGCAGGGGCGTCTCTTCCACAACTTCCTTCTCCTTCAAGTCCTTGCTGGTGATCTCGGAGCTGGTGCCTACCGCTGCGTCTGACATGGTGAGGCACGGTGATCCGATGCGGGGCTTAAAAAGAAAGCGAGCGTTCAGGGACTCTGGCGAAGGAGGCGCGCGGTGTAGGCGGCGGAGGCCAGCAAGGAGTCGGACGAGGAACAAGGCACAGATGGCTTTTCAGAGCAGCCAGTGGGGTGGACGCATGACGTTTACTTATTCTGCAAACTATAATCCTTTTTATCATTATATGTATCATGTATGTTGTTGCTCAAATTGTCCCAGATTTGGTTGGTCATTGGGAACTCCTTCAAGGTGGCTCTTGTGTCCTTTTGACGTGGCTTGATCATCTTTTTTAGAACTTCTTTACTACTCTCTGTAACCCTAAGATGCTACAGTCTTTTCTTCTACTTCCCTCGCCTCAGCCCAAGAATCAGCCATTTCTTCAAGGACTTCTGGTTCCTTTTTATTGAAGAATGAAATTTAGAAACCAGTATCTGGGCACTATATATACATATTGCTACTGGAATATAATTGCTTCAAGGGCCTCTCAGGAGTTAAAGCTGGGAAATATATTTACACATATACGTATTTTATATAAATTTCTGTACGGATATATAGCCATGGTTTTAAATACCTTTTAAAATAGATATTTATAAATATTATAAAACATATTAAATATATATTAAATAAAACCATAATCGAATACTGAACTACCTTCAATTCCAATACCAAAGGGTTCATCCTAGCCTCTTCTCTTTCCCTATTTATAACTTATTTCTCTGACAGTGAGAAACACAGCTCTCATTATCTACAGGACATTTTTTTACTTGCTTACTTTTGGAATACACATGAGGTAGTTTAAGAATTGCTTCTAGCCAGAGTAGTCAGGCAAGAGAAAGAAAAAACAGCATGTGAATAGAAAGAGATAAAGTCAACTATCTCTGTTTGCAGACCACATGATACTATATCTAAAACCCCCTGTAGTCCCAGCCTAAAAGTTCCTTCAGCTGATAAACAACTTCAGCAAAGTTTCAGAATACAAAATCAATGTACAAAAATCACTTGCATTCCTGTACACCAACAGCCAAGCCAACAGCCAAATTAGAAATCTAGAATTTAGAATTTAGAATCTAAATATATTTCTAAAAATATTTAGGAATTACACTTGCCACAAAAAGGATAGAATACTTAGGGATACAACTAATCAGAGAGGTGAATGATCTCTATAATGAGCATTACAGAACACTCCTCAAAGAAATCAGAGAAGACACAAACTGTAAGGTTTATTCTCTGTAAGGTTTATTGCTGAGTTTAAAATGAGGAAACTGAGGCCTGCATGAGAACAATTAGACGCCCCCAGGCGAGGTTCTATGGTCCAGGGAAAGGGGGCCAGAGAAGTGGCACCTGACTCCTCTCAGGCATGGGGTTATATAGGGAGGGAAGGCGCTCTGATTGGCTGAGGAGAAACAGGACGTGGACGTGGCAAGCTGCTATAGGTAGGTAGGCGGGATTTCCGATGAGTGGGCTGGACGGGGCAATGCACTATTGGGCAGGTTTTGGTGGGACTTCTTTTAAATTTTGGCGGGGTTTTCCAACGGCTGGCTAGGTGCCAAGTGCAGAGTTTAGTGTCGAATGCAGATCCTGGTGCTGAGTGCAGAGGGAATTTCCAACGGCGGGCTAGGCGCCGAGTGCAGAGTTGAGTGTTGAGTGCAGAGGTGGGCGTGGTGGAGCTAGATGCTGAGTGCAGATTCTGGTGATGTAATTTTCAGGCATGGAGAGGGATGGGCGTGTCCGAGCTCCCGGTGAGGCAACCAGCCTTACATTCTAACCCTTTTGATGGTATAGGACGCGGCTTCTTTCTGGCTACTTCCTGCGGAATAGGGGCGGAGTGAGGTGGAGGGGTCAGTTGGCTGGTGCCTCGGTTGGGAATCAGCTATGGGGTGAAGTATCATCTGGTTTACGGCCACCCTGGAAATTTCTCTCATGTGGGCCTGTAAAAACTTGAGAAAAAAAGGGGCTAGTATTAGTAGAAGACACACAACAATAACGGGGGTGACGATGGGAGCTAACTGGGTAAGCATGGGGGATTGCCACCAGTTGAGAGCCGAGGCTGGTGCGCTCTGCTTCCTGCGGAGGTTCTCTTGGAGGCGATAGAGAGTGTTGACATTTTCTTCCACAAGGCCTGTTTCATTGATGTAATACCAGCACTGCTCCTGGAGAAACCGACAGGTACCTCTTTTTTCTGCCATTAGTAAGTCTAGGGCCCGTCGGTTCTGGAGAGTCGCCTGAGCCAGTGACGTGATTTGTCACTGGAGGGAGGCTAAACAGGCGGCTGACGCTTCAATAGCCACACGGAGCTTATCTTCCAGTTGGGCGGCTGAAGTGACGCTGTAGCCCATGGCACCACTCCCTATTCCAGTTGCTACTAGAGAGGATGCTAAAGAGAGGCCAACTACTTTCGGGAGGAAGACTGCTCGTTTGCTCCAGTGATTAGGGGACAGTGTGATGAGGAATAGGAACTTGGCTTGTCCATACACTTCTAACTGCGGGACTAGTGTGACAGGCACACAGGGGAAAGGGAGGGATGCATCAATAACTTTGGTTAGGGTTCCATTACACCAAAAGTATCCTCCTGGAGGTGCGTAAAGGGAGGATTTTACTTCTACCGTGGTGTTGCACCTGAGGCTGGGGCTGCTGGCTGTCCCATAGCAGAGAGAGAGATTTTGAGAATGTACATTGAACAAGGGAATACCTGTTAAGATGGTGTCAGGCCCTGTGGGAGATTGTGACAGGTTGAACCCGGTCTGGAGGGGAACTGTGGCTAAGGGGGGTTTGTTAAGGAAGGCACATAAAAAGCAGTTGGTGAAATATGTGGCCCCAGTTAAATTTAACATGTTAGCCCCTTGCTGTACTAGAGTTAGCCAGGAGAAAGGCTGGGGGGCCTTGTTTGAGGGCCTGGGTTGGATTGAGGGGTTAAGTTGGTTAGTTAAAGAACTCTCATTTTGTAAGATGGAATTCCTTAACGAATTGAGTTGTTCTACTTCCACGGGTAGGATCCTAGTATAGGACCGGAATATTAGCCAGGTACCACTGGGGCAGCTGTCTGTAAACCTAGTGTATATTTTACCTGCCGTACCCCTTTTCCAGCAGGCATCCCAGGGATCATGGATGATAAGGGACACTTTACCTTGGTCGTTGGCAAAGAGCATTCTACTTTATGGGGTGGTGTCAGTTCTGAAAGTTGTGTGTATAACAAAAGAAGTGTACGGGCATCCACCATAGGTATCGTTTCTCGAATGACAGGAGTCTTTGGTTTGGTCATATAAAAAGCAGAGGCCAAGGTTATTCCAGGAGTTTTTGATGGTATTGGACTTGGATTTTGGGAATTCAAATTTTATGGCTGATTGGCAGCCTGTGGGCTGGCAATCTGCTTGGGCAAGGTATTGGGTTTTAGTGGTGGGGACTTCCGTCCAGGACTCCTGAAGGTAGAACCGCCAGACATAGTAGGAGTTGGCTTTAAAAGAGGATACCAGGAGGATTGTTAGGAGGAGAATTTGAAGGGTTAGAAGTTGACGGCTAGGGGTTACGGCTGAGGCGGAGGCGAGTGGGGCCCAAGGGTTCAGATTTCCACTGATTATTTTTGGGAGCCAGTTTGAGACAGGACACATGGTACCAAGGGATGTGGCCTAAAAGTTTTGCGGCAGTCGGGGTGTTTAGGATAACAATGTGTGGTCCCAACCACCTGGGCTGCAGAGACCCTGGCTTGAGTTCCCGGAGGAGGACACTGTCACCTGGCTGGAGAGGTATAATCGGGTGGGAGTCCTCTGGTCCTGGAACCATGGGGAGAGTATGGTCCGTGTGTTCCCTGAGTAAGTGGCGGAGGAGAGAGAGGTAGGGAAGGTAGGAAGCCAGAGGAGGTGCCTGTGCCAGGAGATTGTGAGAAACCAGAAAAGGCCTGCCGTACAGCAACTCAAAGGGACTGAGACCCATTGGCCTCTGTGGAGCGTCTCGAACCTGGGCAAGAGGTAGGAGTGTGGGCCAAGAGAGTTTTACCTCTATGGTGAGTTTGGCCAGATGATTCTTGAGGATGTCATGAGCCCGTTCAACCTTACCCGACAACTGAGGGTGGTAGGGTATGTGTAGTTTCCAGATGTTGAGAGACTTGGCCACCAGCTGGACCACCTGAGCTGTAAACGCTGGACCGTTGTCTGACTGGATGTTTCCAGGCATGCCGAAACGAGGGATAATTTCCTGAATTAAGAGGGAGGCCACCGTGTCCACGGTTTCCTTGGAGGTAGGAAAGGCTTCAATCCATCCAGAAAAGGTATCTACAAAGGTTAGGAGGTAGCGAAGTTTTTTGTGAGTGGGCATATGGGTGAAATCAATCTGCCAGTCTTGGGCTGGCAGGTGGTCATGCATTTGGTGGGTAGGAAACTGTGGCCTTAAGCCTCCCTGAGATGAGACCTTAGAGCAGGTAACGCATGCCTTGTGTACTTGCTCAATCGTCTGTTGCAGACCAGGCAAGAAAAAGAGGGGCTGCACGAAACGGTGCAACACTTTAGGCCCTATATGTAAGGACTGGTGGATTTCAGCAATAATTTTAGGGGCCTGTTCCCAGGGAAGGGCAATTTTGTTGTTTAGGAAGATCCAACCCTGATCAGACTCGGTTCCCCCTTTTAATATGAGGGCCTGTTTCTCTGATGGTGAGTAAATCGGCAGCGTGGTTGTGGTGAGAAACAGGATTGGAATGGGTGTAGCCTGGTACTGGTTAAGGATTTTGCTGCTGCATCTGCCCTTGCATTGCCCGGGGAAACAGCATCCTGCTGGGCTTGGTGCCCTCGGCAGTGGATGACAGTGACTTCTTTGGGCAGTGATAGGGCCTGTAGGAGATTAGAGATTTGGTTAGCATTCATTACGGGGGACCCTTTCGTAGTAAGGAATCCCCGTTCTCTCCAGAGGGCAGCGTGGCAGTGGGTAATAAGAAAAGCATACTTTGATTCAGTATAGATATTTGCCCGCTTTCTCCGTGCTAGGGTAAGAGCTCAGGTTAAGGCAATGAGCTCTGCTTTTTGCAAGGTGGTTCCATCGGGGAGGCGACATGCCTCAAGAGTGGCTGAATCAGTGACCACTGCATAGGCGGCTTTTCACCGCCCCTCAGCTGTCACTATTGAACTCCCATCTACATAAAAGGTAAGGTCGGGGTTAGATAGGGGAAGGTCAGACAGGCCCTCCCGAGGTTTAGCAAATGTATCCATTAGTTCAGGGCAGGAATGGGCTGGGGAGGGAGAATGGGATGGAAGGGGAAACAAAGTGGCTGGGTTGAGTGGAGAAGTGGGATGTAGGCTAACTGAAGGATTTTCAATAAAGAGTAGATGAAACTCCTGTAGGCGAGAGGGTCCTAGGTGAGCGAGAGATTTGTGAGAGAGAAGGTCTGTCAGTCGATGAGGAGAGAACACCGAGATAGGCTGGCCTAAAGTAAGTTTGAGGGATTCCTTGGTAAGTTCTGTTGACACTCCCAGGGCCCGCAGGCAAGGCTGCCATCCCTGACTGTGGGATCGAGTTGTTTTGATAAGTATGCTACAAGACGATACACAGGGCCTAGGGGCTGGGTTAGGACTCCAACTGCAATACCTTGTTTCTCGTCAGTAAACAAGTGGAAGGGATGGTTAAGGTTGGGCAGTTGAAGTGGAGGTGCCGTGGACAGGGCAGTTTATAGGGTTTTGAAACCTTGTTTTACAACTCCAGGATGAGAGAGTTGGTGTGTGGGTGTGTCCTTAGCCACCACATACAGAGGTTTAGCTAGAGTGGCAAAGTTAGGTACCCAATGACGGAAGAATCCTACAAATCCTAAGATGGAGAGAATCTGGTCTGCAGTCTCCAGAGGCTGCAGCAAAAGAAGTACCTGCCAGCGGTCGGTTGTTAGGCTTTTAGTTATGGGGGTGAGGCAAATGCCTAAATAGATTACTGAGGTGACTGACAACTGTGCTTTAGCGGGGGATACCCAGTATCCCAGGATCCAAGAAAGTTAAGGAGAGTGGCAGTGTGCTGTTGAGACAGAGAGAGGGAGGGGCAACAAAGTAATAGGTCATCCACATACTGGAGAAGGAGACTTGGTTGGAGGGAGCAGGAGCTGAGGTCAGCTGCTAAGGCTTGTCCAAAAATATGGGGGCTGTCTCTAAATCCCTGGGGCAGGATTGTCCAGGTGAGCTGCTGTGACAGGTTGGTGTCAGGATCGGTCCAGGTAAAGGCAAAAAGGAAGTAAGACTCTGGGTGAAGGGGAATAGTAAAGAAGGTGTCCTTGAGGTCAAGAACTGTAAAATGAGAGGTAGTGGAGGGAATGTTGGATAATAGGGTATATGGATTGGTGACCACTGGGTGGAGGGGTACCACCACCTTGTTGATGAGGCGCAGGTCCTGAACTAGGCGGTAGTTGCCGGTCGGCTTTTGTACCAGTAAGATAGGAGTATTATAAGGGGAACTGGTGGGGATAAGGAGTCCCTGGGCCAGAAGCCAGATGATGATAGACTTTAGGCCCTGGTGGTGGGTTTTTGAGATGGGAAACTGAGGACCTGAGGGAAAGTGGGTAGAGTTTTTGAGAAGTATTTTAACTGGTGTGTGATGTCTGGCCACCACAGGCTTGGAGGTATCCCATACTAAGGGATTAACTTCATTAGGAGGGATAGGGGGTTGAGGCGAGGGGTCAAGACAGGGCGTGATACCAGTTAGGAGTAGCAGTAGAAGATGGGCAGAGGATGGGCTTGAATGTGGGTGGCCAGTGAATTGGAGGGTGGCCCCTACAGTCTGGAGAATATCTCATCCTAAAAGGGGGACTGGGCATGAGGGTATGATCAGAAAGGAGTGGGAGAAGGGATATCCCTCAAGGACACAGGCTAAGGGGCGAGTTTGGTTAGGAGAGGAGGGCTTTCCATCGATCCCCATGGGTGAAACCTGGGAAGGTATGCTAGGTCCTGAGTAGGAAGGCAGTACAGAATAAGTAGCCCCAGTATCCATTAGAAAAGAAATGGACTTATCCACTACCTGCAGCGTTACCCTGGGCTCGGCAAGGGTGATGGGGGTCCTCGAGTCTGGGCTGCATCAGTTGTCCAGAAGGCTGAGGAGTTCAAGCGGAGGGACTGCTTCCTGCGGACTGGCCTGCCCTCCACATAGAGGTGTGGGGCGTGAGCCTGCAGCCTGGAACGGGCAGTCAACCTTCCAGTGTCCAGTCTGTTTGCAGCTTGGGCAGGGTCCAGGAGGTGGACAAGGACAGGGGCACTGCTGTGCCCAGTGTCCCTCCTGGCCGCATTTGAAACAGGGCCCAGGTGGGGCCTTTGAAGAACTTTGGGAGGGTTTCAACGGACCCCCCCACCAAATATTCAGTGGGCTGCTGGCCTCAGGGCTGCTACAAGAGCTCGGGTTTGGAGGCCTACCTTTTGCTGTAAACGGGCCTGACAGGTGGCCTCAGCCTTTTCCTCTCGGCCATTGAAAACTTTAAACGCCATGTTCACCAGGTCCTGTATGGGAGTTTGGGGGCCCTCCTCAGCTTTTTTAAGTTTCCTCCTTATATCATCGGCCAACTGGGAGATGAAGTGGGTGGCTAGGACTGTAGCCCCTGCTAAGGAGGCCGGATCTAGCTGGGTATGGAGGATCATAGCATTAGTTAATCGGTCTAGGAAGGCAGCTGGGTTTTCATCAGGACCCTGAGTTATTTCCCTTAACTTGTCATAATTAACTACTTTTTGAGCTGCGCTCTGCATGCCCACTAAGAGGCACTGTAGCATTTGATCTCAGCGGTGGTGGCCATCTTGACTGGTTTGATAATCCCAATTAGGGTCTGCCTCGGGGACCGCCGCTGCGCCTACTGGCATTTGATTGTTTGTGAGATGTACCTGATCAGCATGAGCTCAGGCCACTCTAAGAATGTGGTCACGCTCATCGGGAGTAAGAGTGGAGGACAGGATTACGTAAGTGTCATGCCAGGTCAGGTCGTACACCTGGGTGAGGTAACAAAATTCTTTGGTATAAGCCATAGGATTGGTAGAGAATGACCCTAGGCATTTTTCAATGGCTGATAGATTGGAGAGGAGAAGGGAACGTGCACTCAGACAGTGCCTTCTGCTCCGGCTACTTCACGGAGGGGGCATAGGAGAGGAGTCTTATTGTTGAGAGTACAGCGCGAGCGGGTGTGATCACTAACAGGAGAGGCTAAGCTGGGATCAGGAAGAGGAGGAGCAGGAGGGGGTTGAGGTTTTGCATAAGGCGGGGGATCGGTGGGTCGGGTGAATGGAAAGGAGAGTTCTTCGGGCGGGTCGGGGTCAGAAAAGGAGGAAGAGGAGGGTGGAGGAGCAGAGGGTGATGAGGAAATTTCCTTGGCCAGTAGAACCTGGGCAGTGGTGCAGGAGAAGAAGAGGGTGGGGTGGGAGCGAAGGTACCAGAAAGCCTGCACGTAGGGGACCTCAGACCATTTACTGTTCTTTTGGCAGAAGTTGTCTAAGTCTGTCAGGACATTAAAGTCGAGTATGCCCTCTGGAGGCCACCTAGACTGGTTGTCTAGGGGATACTCTGACCAAGCCACGGTAGAGAGGAAAAGCAGCCTCTTCTTTTTAATGGAAAGGCCAAGTTTGGGTAGATTTTGGACTAGACACCCTAATGGCAATTTAGAGTCTGGGCGAGACTTCTGATTGCCCATGGTTCACCTACTTGTGAGGTAGTTAGGGGTAAGAAAGGAATACGGAAAGGTATTATACCCAACACAGGCTGAAGTACTCCTTTCCGGGGGGGGATACTCCTTTTCCGGGGGAGGGTGGCTAGAGAACTTACAGGCTACAATGATTATGATGAGAAAGAAAATAAAAAGAGACAGGGCTAGGGCTATCCGAGACAAAACCACATATAGGATTGACGGACAAAGGGTGGGTGCCCCCAAGATGGGAGACTAGTCTGATGCCTTCCTAGCCACATTCCCGAAGGGATGTTTCAGGGTG